TTCCGGAAGCTGAACGGCATCACCAGGAAGGACGCGTACCCCCTGCCGAGGATCGACGACACGCTCGACTCGCTCCGGGGGTCGGCGTGGTTCTCCTCGCTCGACCTGAGATGGGGTTACTGAAACATCCCGCTGTCAGCCGACGCTCGTCCGAAAACCGCCTTCTGCCTCCCGGGTCACGGTCTGTACGAGTTCAAGCGCATGCCGTTTGGACTCTGTAACGCTCCAGCCACATTCCAGAGGCTGATGGACCGTCTCATGCCGCGCGCTCTGTCACGAGTCTACCTGGATGACGTCGTGCGTGGGAAGACCTTCGAAGAGGCGCTGTCCAGGCTCCGCGTTGTGCAGCATCGTGTGCGGCAGGCGAACTTCCTGCTCAACCCCACCAAGTGCTCCCTGTTCGCCGACCAGCTCGAGTACCTCGGCCATGTCATCTCGAGCAAAGGAGTCGCAACTGACCCGGCGAAGATCGAGAAAGTCAAGAACTGGCCGGTTCCCGCGGACAAGAAGGAGTTGTCCGCCTTCCTCGGCACGGCCCAGTACTACTCGAGGTTTGTCCATAATTTCGCGACAGTTGCAGCGCCGCTGAACCGCCTCACCCAGAAACATGAGCCGTACGCCTGGACGCCCGAGACGCAGGCGGCCTTTGAGGAGCTGCGAACGGCTCTCACTTCACCACCGGTGCTGGCCTTTCCTCATCCCGACGGCGAGGACTTCCTCCTGGACTGCGACGCCTCGAACGTTGGCGTCGGCGCGGTCCTATCGCAAGTCCAGGACGGCGAAGAGAGGGTCATCGCGTACTACAGCAAGAGTCTGGATCGCCCACAGCGCAACTACTGTGTCACGCGCCGTGAGCTTCTTGCTGTAGTTCTAGCCATCCGCCACTTCCACCCCTACCTGGCGGGCCGCCCTTTCCGTGTCCGCACCGACCACGCCGCCCTGGTGTGGCTCTGCTCCCTACGCGACACGGCCGAGGGCCAACTCGCCCGCTGGCTGGAGCGCCTGGGCGCCTACGACTTCCACGTCCAGCACCGGCCCGGTCGTCTTCACGGGAACGCCGACGGGTTGTCACGCCGCCCGTGCGACACGAACTGTCGTCACTGTTCCCGTCACGACCCGTCTCTTGTCAGTGTCCAGCGCACGACGGCCGAGGACGCGGATGCACCTCCTCGAAAGGACATCGCAGCAGCGCAGAGGGCCGACAAGGACGTCGCCCCTATCCTGGCTGCAGTGTCCCGGGGGGAGAGGCCCCTCCCAGAAGCCATGAGCAGCCGGAGCACGCGCACCAAAGCCCTCTGGCTGCAGTGGCAGTCCCTCGAGGTCATTGACGGCGTCCTCTACCGTCGCTTCGACACGGGGCGTGGCGCCATCCACCAAGTGGTCACCCCCCAGTCGCTCATGGCACGGGTCTGCGAGCAGTTCCATGCCGCACCCGTCAGCGGCGGGCACCTGACTGCTAACAAGACCATCGCAAAGATACGGCAGCACTACTACTGGCCAGGTATGTGCCAGGAGGTGAAGCTCTGGTGCCGTGCATGCCGTGCCTGCCGCAGAAAGAAGGGTCCACCTGAGAGGGCGCGGGCGCCCCTACACCTGCACAACGTCGGCGCTCCCTGGGAACGTGTCGGGGTAGACATCGCCGGCCCGTTCA